GACACCTGACACAGGGCTTGATCCCAGGACCCCGGGATCATGACCTGAGCCAAAGGCAGACGCTCAACCAACTGAGCCACCCAGGCGCCCCAGAGTCTGCCTTTCTAACAAGCTCCCAAATGAGGCCAGTGCTCCTGGTCCAGGAATCACATCTTCAGTAGCAAAGCCCTTTGACCACATTCGTATGTTGCTTAGAATGAACAGGTGAAGAAAAGGAAATCAGTGGAGCAGGAGAGAAGTGATAACTGTAGAAGTGAAGATTTTAGGAAGGCAGCGGGGAGAGAGTCCAGAGAACCAGCAGAGGGGTTGGGTTTTCAAAAGCAACTCCCCAGGAAAGAAGAGTGGGTGGGAAGCGGAGGAAGCCCTCCACTGACGGTGTCTAACTTTTCAGTGAGGTCATCCGCTGAGAGCGAGGGTGGGAGTTCAGAGAGACTCTCATTTCTCTTCCCAGGCAGCATCCAGAATGCCATTGAGTCTAGATCATAAATTGAAAGTAAAACCCATCAGCTCAGTGCCATTTCCGCAGCCCTCACTAACAGCTTCCAAATCTTCTGGGGGATTCCAAAGTAAGGTATCTACCGTTATATACTGTGACACATGCCGTGGGGCAAGGTACAGCTGACTCTTCGGGGGAGGGGGGAGGGGAAGGGTTATCTGCCCCAGTGTCAAAGGGAAGTAGGCGCATCAGGAAAGCTCAGAAAGAGACCTGTGACTTGGGATCTAAAAGCGGAGCAGAAAGGAACATGGTGCATTTGAGGGTCAGAAAGTCCACAGCAGGGCACCGGGGCCATGGAGTGAAGCCCAAGAGGATAGATCCTGCAGGTAAGGAGTCTGGCACCTCTATGCAGAGAATGCTGAGAGGCCATTGAGAGGGCTGAGACAGGCCGGTGACGAGATGGGATCTGCCCCCAAACAAGAAATAGAGAAGGAAAGGAGAAGGGGAGCGGGAGAGAGGGGTCCAGAGGCCTCTGCAGGGACCCAGGGCTTTGAACGGATGGAGTTTCAACAAATATTTGCTGAAATGGAAGGTAACTATTAACTACATATTTGGTTGACCAGAATACCCTATTGCCCGGCCAAAATGAATAATGGTTTTCCTTAATTCACGATGCCCCACTTAACTTTATGAGGCCTTTCTCTTTGGGACAGCAGCAAAATGATAACTCCCTCCTACCTTTTCTCATTATCCACTGTCCTGTTTTTCTCTCTTCTTCTCTCTCCCACTTTTCCTCTACACCTCCCTGCCTCTCCTCTTCCCCAATAATCCTATTGAATAAAGTTGATCAGATCTTACAGTCTCCATTTCTATTAACTGGGGCGTTTAACTCTTATCTGTGGCCCTCTTATTCATATTCAGACTCATATGCAGAGATGACAAACATCTGATCATCAATGTGTTCTCACGTGTGGCCACTGTGGCTATATCACTACCGAACACACGGGGAGATACCGAATGATATACACCAGTCAGCAAGTTTAGATTTAGGGAGCTGCAGAAAGTAACACAGGACAGAGGTCCAGGAAGGCTAAAACCCAGGCTGTAAATTACTCTCCTGGTATATGTTACAAATAGTCACCACTGTTCTCTTTTCTCTCTTGTACTCCTTTTTTCTTTCTTTCTTTTTTTTTCAAGATTTATTTATTTATTTGAGAAAGAGAAAGAGTGTGAGCGGGGCAGGGGCAGAGGCAGAGAATCCCAAGCAGATTCTCCCACTGAGCACGTAGCCCGATGTTGGCTCCATACGAGGCTTGATCTCACCACCCTGAGATCATGACCTGAGCCGAAATCAAGAGTCAGACACTCAACTGACTGAGCCACCCAGGTGCCCCTCTTGCACTCCTTTTTACAAAAATCTTGAAATCCCTTCTCATCCTCTTCTTCATCCCAGCAATTAAAGAAAAAAAGACAGGGTGCCTGGGTGGCTCAGTTGGTTAAGCGACTGCCTTCGGCTCAGGTCATGATCCTGGAGTCCTGGGATCGAGTCCCGCATCGGGCTCCCTGCTCAGCAGGGAGTCTGCTTCTCCCTCTGACCCTACCCCCTCTCATGTACTCTCTCTATCTCATTCTGTCTCTCAAATAAATAAAATATTTTTTTTTAAAAAAGGAAAAAAGATACTAGGGGTCTGAGAATTTATATAACCTTTTATACCCAATATTTTTGTTGTCTTAAAGACAAATCTTCAGTAGTTGGTGAGGGTTATGTTTTGCAACAGCCTGGGGTGGAGAAGATCTGTTCATTAGGTTTTCCATTTTCGCCCTGGTGTACCCTTTTGTCACATTCAACAGTCACCCCGTGCCCCTCAGCCTGTGCTCTGGCAGGATTTGAGACATGCAAATTGCAACCTGGTAAATAACAACTTTGCATATTTTCAATAGAAGGGAACAACACCGTACCACTCATTCTGTTCACAGGGAAATCTGAGATAATGGGAGTGAGAGCAAGGGAAGACCGAGGATCCTAAGTGTTTTCTTCGGTGTTTATTATGCTTATTAAATCTATTGTACAGTGATGAATTAATTTGAATTATTTACATGGTCAACCTTTGAGACAATAACCTGATTTAACCAGAGGATGCAAATGTATCATTTCTCTTTGAAATCTAAAAACAGGTTTAAACTGGAAGAAGCATCACGACTTGTATCTTTTCCTACAAATATTGGTTATACACCAGCAGTTGTCAGGTTAAATGACATAATGTCAGAAATCAAGAGAATGTGGTGATGTATTTCTTGGGAAAGTCGATAAACTCCCCTGTGAGAACATGTCCCCTGTCTAGCCAACTCTTGGGTGACAAATGTCTCACGTAAGTCTTTCAATTCCATTTATCTGTAAGATATCCTGCACTGTCTGACATGAGGGTGTTCATCTGCTAAAATTTCAATGTAAAGGAAAATGACATAGTAAGAATGGTTGGATTTTCATTAGATTAGGGGGTCCGGTGTCATTTTAGTGAGTTTGGCCTGGTAAGAATGCTTTAGTTTTACTACAGAAGCTGTCAAGAATCTAAGGTTGCTGTCAAGTTCAAGGTATTATAATCCAATTATTTTTGAAAAACTAGGTTTTCCATTATGACTTAGACAAAAATTGGAAATTTTTGTCCAAGCCTGTTCAACTTTGGATTATTTTTTTCTTGTTGTTTGGATGCTTATAAGGAATTTTTGTGAACCGTAAAATCATGTGTGTTTATAAAGACAGAAGAGGCACAAGTAATTCTGAAGGTGGTGTCTTTCTGAGGTAGAGTGAACAGCTTGTGTCTTAAATATTTTATGAGATCTAGGTATTAGAACAATGTTTCTGATGCAGGAACACAGCGATCTAGGAACAAAAGGGAGATGGGGCCAAAGAACGGACTGTGAAATTTCTTCAAAATATCAAGTGATCCCAAGGCTGAAAACAGCAATGGATGTTGATACTGCAGATTGCTCCTAATAAGGAATTTAAAAGCTTAATGATTTATTGATTGGATCTTCACTAATGATGTGCCCTTGACTCTGTGTGTGTAACTAAGAGGGCTGATTTATGAGGGTACAATCATATCTTTCAGATATATTTGGTCCAAGTCCACATACTGAAAATAAATTGAAGGGTTGAGGCAATTATCAGAATATTTCAGAGGAGGAACGCCCACATGATTCGTATGTTAGGTGAAGAGGAAAAAAAAAAAACAAGAGAGAAAAAACTCTAAAGGGGGTTAGCAAAAAACACGAGAGAAAAGCCTAAACTATAAAAACAAAACAAAAGGGCGCCTGGGTGGCTCAGTTGGTTAAGCGACTGCCTTCGGCTCAGGTCATGATCCTGGAGTCCCAGGATCGAGTCCCGCATCGGGCTCCCTGCTCAGCAGTGAGTCTGCTTCTCCCTCTGACCCTCCCCTCTCTCATGCTCTATCTCATTCTCTCTCTCTCATAAATATAAAAAAAATATTAAAAAAAAAAAAAAAAAAAAAAAAAAACCCCACTTCTGTTAAGAAATATCCCCTGCTTCTCTTAGTCTAAAAGAAGAAAAATAGATTCTCAGGTGCTACCAGGGAGCAATATTTTCCTTTCAAAGAAGAAGAAGAAAGAAAAAGAAAAGAGAAAAGCAAGAAAAAAAAGTTGTTCTGTTAAATCAGCTACACATGGAGTCAGTCTGTGTAAGGAAATCAGCCTTTTCATTACAAATGGGTTTAAAAAGCCCTAGAGAAGTGAGACTTGAACAGAAGCAATATTATCCACTAACAACCCAACTCTCTTTCAGACAGCTGAGAGAAGATCAGCAGCATCATTGAACAGGGGGTTTGTCTTAAGATAAAGACACATCTTTATTTCTTTCAGGATATAAAACTTGTATTTAAATCAATTCAGAGAAGCACTTTAGCTTTAAACATTAGAAAGCGGGGAGAGCCTATTTAATAAAACAGCATTATTTTATTTTCAAAGAATGATACTGGCAGTAGCTCTGAGTTTAAATTCTGTATTCTTTTCCTCAATTATAATTATAGATGGGTCTGAAAGGAAGCATGCCTATTACTGTCATATTTATTCTTTTGACAGGTGTTATGGGACTGTAATTTGATGAAATGACTCAAAACGCAGATTCCCTTACAAATACAATTCCTGTCATCAACACGAGTGGTTTAGGGGAAGTCCTCCAGCAAGCCTTTTCACCAATCTTGAACACCCCTAATGTTTTAGCAGCGATCCGTATTCAGAAACATGGGGGAGAGCCTGCCTTCAGGGCTTATACCCGAGGTAGCAACAGCCAGAAGGAAGAGTGGGTGTTTAAGGTAGAGAAGTCTGTTAGTGGGACAGCCTTCTTTTTCATCTGGGTGGGGTCGGGTCAGGCCAGGGGCACCCAGCGGTCTCGCCTGCAGTTTCTTTATAAACAGACCCCAGCCCCGCGTGCGGCCGGCAGAGGGCGCTCGACGAACAGCCGACTGGCGGGGGCGGTGCCGCGCCAGTCCCGGGGCGCAGGCGCACTCGTGGCTGCCGCGTCCGCCGCGTCCGGGGTTGGCGTTCCCCAGTGGAGGCGGGTGAGCCGCGCGGCGCCGGCGGAGGGCGGGAGAGGAGACGCGGGCGGGAGGGCGCGCGGGGAACGGAGCCGCCCGGGGAGGCGGGGCGGGCTCGGGGTGTGAGGGCTCGGGGTGTGAGGCCTCGGGCGTCCTCGGCCTTGCGCGGCGGGTGGAAGACCCAGCGGGGCCCCGCGCCGCCCCCTTCCCCTCCCCTTCGGCTCTCGCGGCCTCGGAGGGCCCGGTGTCCCGGCGACTCGGGGGAAGAGGAGCAGGCCCCAGGACGCGGGGAGGGCCGCGGGGAGCCAGGGGACTCCAGAGGCCTCTGCGAAATGCCCACTGTCTGGCACACACCTCCGCGCTCAGCCTCGGCTGGGCCATTTATAAAAGCAGACGGGGCCCCTCCACCGTCCATCTGCCCCGAGCGCGCTTGCTTGCCTGGAGTAACCTTCACGTTTTGATTGATGCTTCTGCATAACACAGCAAGTCACGCTGAGTTCGAAACCCCTTAGTCCCCAGGACTTTTATTTTTTTTTTACATAGCTTACAATTCACTCATTTAAAGTGCACCGTCGAATGTCTTTTAGTATATTCCGAGTTGTGCATCCATATCATAATCAATTTTAGAACTTATTCATTGTCCCCAAAAGAAACCTCTCCTTTAGCTGTCACTCTCAATCTCCCGCCCTGGGCAACCCCCTAATCTACTTGCTGTCTCTATGGATTTGCCCATTCTGCACATTTCCTATAAATGGAATCATAACAATATTTGGTCTTTTGTGACTGACTGGCTCCTTTCACTTAGAGTAATGTTTCCAAGGTTTACCCATTTTGTACCCTGTATCAGCACTTCGTTTCTTTTTATTACAAAATAATATTCCATTGTATGAATGTACCATGTTTTATTTATCCATTCATCAGCTGATGGACCTTAGGACTAATCTTAACCCTTCACCTCCTTCCAAGGCCCTTCTGGATCTGACCCAGCCTTCCTGGCCAGCATCCTGTTTGCTCCCGCTCTGGGCTCCTGTGGGCTTGGCGGTCCCTTCCTCCCTTAGGCCTTCATGCAAGCTACCTCTGCCTTCACCGCCCCTTCACAAATCCTACTCCTCCTTCAGACCTCAGATTTAATGTCCTGTTCTCAAGAAACCTCTGACCCTTGACTGGGTGAGGGGCCCCATGAGCCAGTCTCTCAGGGACCTGAATTCCACTTTGTAGCAATTAGTTGTAACTGAATAATTAGTTTTAATTTTACGTTAATATGTAAGATACATGTGACCAGGGGCTTCTGTTTGTTTCTGTAACCCCAGTACCTAGCACCTTGTTGGTGCTCAGTGACTATTTCAATACATGGGCACACATGCCTACCATGTATCAGGCGCCGCCATACTATACTAGGGACACAGCCGTGAACAAAATAAACTCCCTGCTGTATGGAGTTTACGTTCCAGTGGGGGAATACAAACAATTAAATGTATGTCAGGTGGTGAAGAGTGCCATGAAGAAAGATGGAAGGGACTGCAGAGTGGTCAGGGAAGTCCTCTTAATGAGACCTGGATTCCTCTGGGGCAGAGCAATGTGGGTTTCTGGAAGAGTAGTTGGGTAATGGAGGGAGGGAGAGCATGAGAGAAGGATAAATCCAGAGCTTTCAACTCAAGGGTCCTTTTGAGATGAGCCCTGCGTATGTGTAGAAAGAGCTTGTTGGGAGGGTAGAGACCTGGATCCAAAGCCTAGCTACGCTCTCACCTAGTTCTGTGTGACCTGGAGCCTCAGTTCTCATCCTCTGTAAAATGGGAGTAATAGGGTTGTGGATGAAGTAGCCCCTGTGAAGTACCCAGCCGCGTGGCTGACACCTGGCAGATGTATAATGGTTCCCTTCTTTCGCCCTCAAACCACAGTGGTGTGTTGTGGCCTGTGTGTGGGAGGCCATTGGCACAAAGCAGTCTAACGTCACAATGACTCAATTCACGATGCTTGTTGCTCTGCTCTGAGACCAGCATGTTTGCCTTTTGTCTGATTTTTCCAGTTTGCTTTGACTGGGCTAGCTCACCAAGTTCACTTGCAACTGGTAAACTGGCTCAGGGTGGTTGAGCTGACACAGGGGATGTTCAGAGTAGCTCCTTGGGCCTCTGAGAGAGACAGCAGGTGTGGGAGAAAGAGCCGAGGACCCAGAGCCAGGGATTCAGGGTTTGAGACCTGGCGCTGCCACCTGCTGGCTTTCTGATTCCAGGACAGCCACTGTCCTCCTGGCTTTAATGTCCTGTCTGGTAAATGGAGGTCAGTCAACATACATTTATAGAAAGGATTAGTGTGAGACCTTATTAGAGGAGTGTGGGCAGCATGGGGTGTGAGCCTTGAGGAGGTGACGTGGGAGTTTAATCTTCTAAGGATCAAGAGGAATTCTTGAGGCAGGCGAAGAATCCAGCGTAGGGGGAAGAGAGGCGTTGAAGAGCACAGCGCGTTTCAGAGACACGATTAACAATAGTTCCCAAGTGCCTCGTATGTGGCGGGCACCGTGCTAAGTGGTTTAGGAGCATTATTTAATCCTCACAACGATTCTGTGCAGGAGATACTATTAGTTGCCCCATTGACAGATGTGCGGCTGACTCTGAGGTGGAAATTGAGAAGCTTGCCCACGTCCCACAGCCGGCCAGTGATGGAGCCAGGATTTGAATGTAGACTGCCTGATCCCAAAGTCCATGAACTTAGCCGCTAAGTTCAGTATGTGGCTAGAATGCAGGGCGTGTAGACAGCAGGAGATGAGTTTAACGAGAGAAGCTGGAAGCAGATTTGAGAGGGATAAAGGAACACTCCACAGAGGTTCTGGAGAAGGGGGAGTGACATGGTGTGTTTTTTAGGAAGTATCCTTGGGTCGGACTGGAGAGAGCGATATTCGGATAGTCCGAGCAAGGCATTGTTACAAAGCTGGGAGCCCAGGTACTGCCCAGGTGCATGGTGGGGGGGGCACTGAGGACAGGGAGGGTGAGGAGAATGGGGAGTCTGGGTCTTGAGAGCCTTGACCATGAAGGAAGGGGACTGAAGGAGCATGGACTGCTGCCCCGCTTCTAGCTTGGGAGAACGTGCGTGTGCAAGCTGGAGCCCCGGAACTGGGGGAGCAGAACCACTCTGCTTCTATATTGTGACTTTCCCCATCCAGACAAATAATTACGTATTTAAACAATGACCTGCGCAGGCTTAATTTAGCCTTGTATCAGTGTTTGTTTGTTTGTTTTTTAAAGATTTTATTTATTTGACAGAGAGAGAGACAGCGAGAGAAGGAACACAAGCAGGGGGAGTGGGTGAGGGAGAAGCAGGCTCCCTGCCGATGCAGGGCTCCATCCCAGGACCCCAGGACCATGACCTGAGCCGAAGGCAGACACTTAACGACTGAGCCACCCAGGTGCCCCAACCCTGTATCAGTGTTTAATAGGGCATAATTTCTGGTCATGTTCTCTAGTTCCATTCTTTCTTTTTTTAAATATATGACTTTCCCCCACTTATTTTTAGGTGCCCTATGTCAGGGCACAGGGTAGGGAAAGAGCCAAGGGGGTTAAATGGGGCTGTAGGCCTATTTCTCAGCATCTGTACCAGTGATATCACTTGGCTCCCAGGAAATTCCCTTTGTGGCTTTATTGTCACTGTTTTCCTTTATTCTGTTATATTCCCCTTTGGGTTTTCTAAGAGCTTTTTTAGTACTTCCTTAGCTGCCTCCTTTTCTTTGTCGGTGTAATTGACATCAGCCTTGTGACTTTTTTTTTTTTTTCATCTTTATGCAGCGGGAAGCTATAGATGATGTCCTTGGGTTTCAGAAAAGTATGGAGAAAAGTTTTATGGAGAAGGTGGAAAAATAAGTACGGGATAATAGCACAGTCAAGTGCTTTCATGAATGCGGAGCTGGTCCTGAATGAGCCCCAGGAGAGTTCTCTGTGGGGTCCTTAGCCCTGATCCGGGCAGCATTCTGTGGATGGCTTGGGTACGGACAAAGCAGGTAGTGTTAGAAGCAGGTAGGGGCATGGGGCAACAGTCCTCGGTTTGATTCCTGGCCTTACCATCTAATAGTTGGGTGGTCTCTGGCAAGTTTCTTACCCTCTCAGAGCCCCAGTTTTGTCATCTATAAAATGGGCTAATGAAACGTACTCCGTAAGATTGTTGTGAGGATACACGAAGTAACACACGTGAAGCTTGCAACACCTTCCTGGCACATACTGATCACTCCCTGAATGGTAGGTCGTGAGACATGGCATCAGCCGTGCAGAAAGCTCGAGTAGGACAGCTCGGTAACATGTCAGGCCGTCCATATCTGGTCCTAGGGCCGAGCCCAGAGCCACACACGTGCTAGATGCTCTGAATGGCTTTGGATGGGTGACTGACATAGCTCGCCGGGGTTAATGTCTCTTTCTTTGGACCCACTTTGTGCCTGGGATGGGATTGTTTCTGTGCTTTTGTTGTGCTGAATTGAGCGGAGTTGGATAACAGACAGGGTCAGGTACCCCAGAGATTGTGGCAGATGGTGACTCTGGACTAAACTAATCACATACAAGATGGGAAACAGATTTAAGAAGAGTTCGTGGAAAAAAGGTTCCTCCAAGCTGAATGCCAGGGTCACACGGGGGCCCAAGCAGAGAATGCAGTCTGAGCGGCCTTCCTTGAATTGCCCAGTAAAGGAGGGGACATTGCCACCTGAGCTCCAGGACCCACGGAGCTGGTCAGGACCCAGGAACACTATGGCTTTCCCACTGGACAAAAATCTAAGAGTGAGACCAATAATGAGGGGGTGTGTGTGTCCCGAGGAGCGGGAGTGAGACGGGGAGGCTCTGGGAGAGGACAGCACCTTCAGGGTGGGGATTTTGGAAAGAGAATGACTGCGGGGCTGGGGTCCCTGGCTGAGCAATGACAGACTGGCCTTGGGGGTGGGGTAGGGAGACTTGAGCCCCAGAGGGCAGAGCTCAGATCCAGGAGTGAAGTTTACAGGGCAGATTTTAGCTCAGAAGCAAAGGCAGTCTGTGACAGCTCTGGCTGAATGA